TGAAATTTGTCAAATTGTTGAGGACATGATTATTTTTCATAAAGATGTCTTTGATAAAGAGCACAAGGAATGATAGGGCCTACTGCTCTCATCAATACCCCAGCAGCTTTGCTCTGGCCAATGTGGCTCACTTAGTTGGAGCATCGTCCTGTGCATCAAAAGGTTGCAGGTTTGATGTCCAGGCACGCGTGGGAGGGGACCTAACCATGTTTCTCTGTCACATCCACATCTCTCTGTCTCTCTTCCCCCCCTTCTTCTCTCTCTAAAAACCAATAGCTATATATTTTTAAAAGTACCCAAACGACTTTATACACATGACTTTACCATAATACAGGCTGAGTACTAACACAAGTCAATTTTTTCCTACCACGTTATTCATACACATCATGGCTCCTTATAAAGGAAAATTCAAAAAAATGATCATTAGTGATTAAAGGAAGTATTTTTCCCCAGACTTCATTTACGTTGAGTTTTATTTCAAAACATAGCCTACAGATAGTACCAAAATGTAGATTTTCGCACAGGGAAATCGGTTTGCTTGTTGTTTTCATATGGAAGAACCTACAAGTGATTTTCAATGCCAACTGGCACTCAATTTCAAAGTAGCTTCAAGAACTCAGTTAAGCCCATTTTGGTTTCCTGCTGACAAAAATCCATGTGTTATAGCCTCACCTTTACCCATACCACCATCAGCATTAGTGTCATCCATTATTAAAATTAATAAAACATTGGGTTAATAGTGGATCACAGCATCGTGTTCATGTGGCAAAATCAGCCCTACTGAAAGAATATTTCATGGTGATGATGTGGTGACTTTAAATTTTTTTGAAACTGGTGATGGAGTGAGAGCTAGAGAAAGTATTCAGTTAATTTTTTTTTAAGGAGAGAAACCCAAGTTCTATTTTTGGCTTTTCTGCCTCTGACTCACAGCATTAACTTGAACCAGTCACCTATCCACACAAGAGGCACAGTAAATAGAGGAGAAAGTGAGAAAATGCTTCAGCTTTCCTATTTTAATGTAGGAGACCTGCTGAGATCACTTATATAAATATTTCTCTTTGAGCTCCCTGGAAGATGGGGACTTTATAAATATTTAGTATTATTGTTTCGCCTTAGATACAAGTAGACAGAAAATTATGGTACTATCATATTTATGTAAGAAGTTACTTAGTTCAGACAATCCTATTTCATACCAAACCACTCTGCATTGGCTTGTTTCTGTGTGTTGGGCTTAGTCTGCCCCCTTCCCCCCTTGCAGCTGATGAGTTGGGAAATATAAATAAACCAAGGTGAGGAAGCACAGCGTGGGTGCAGTCACTCTGGCTGATCTGATGCTGTGTATCAGAACGGGTGAAGATGCAAAATAAACATTCCATTCAGAATTCCTGATTGAAAAGTGTGAGAAAATGATTCATTTTAAGAATGAATAATTTGCTTGAATGTTCTGAATTTAAGTAAAACCTCACTGAGTATCCAGTTTGGCCAGCTGTGTTTCTGTTTTGGATGCATGCAAAGAGAAGACATCTAAAAAAAACCATTGCAACTGAAAGGTTTAGAGTTGCTCTGTTTGTTTCAAGTAAAATCTTACAAAACTAATTCACCTGTTTCATTGCAAATTCTTGTCCAAAAAGCTGTCCCTCCAAGGCTGTAATGGAACTAGGTTCTGGAATGAATTCCTCAGAATACACACAAGGGTTATTATTAGATGGTGGAATTCCAGGTGATTCTTTTTTTAGTTTACTTTCTTATTCAGCCCTTTTCTGGCATTACCTGAACTTTTTCTTTAAATAAAAATTTATGTTTTTAAAAAAATAAATGTGAAACCCCTTACCCATGATCTCATTCTTCTGTCTGCCTTATACCCCAAGCTTTTAATGGAGCTACACTTTCTTCCTGCTTTCCTTATATAGTCATTAATTTCCAAATTGGGAGACCAACACCTCTATGCAGTTGAGTGGGGAGTCGGTTTTGATCTAGAGAACTTAGGCAATTTACAAAGCACCCTTAGATAAAATTTTCTCTTTTGTTCATTTACTGTGGTAATTCAAACCAAAACGCAGCAGGTCCCCTGAGTATAAATTATGTTAATAATATTCTGTTTGTTGACCAATTGCAAAACGATTATATAATTTCAAGATTTCTTGAGCACTCAGGGTGTTTTAGGGGCAGTGCCAGTCATAGAGAAACAAAAGACAATTGCTCCATTCTCAATAACCTGATCTCACTTAAAGAGAGAATAAAAGCCATTATGACTTCCTCTTTTGCATATTTATGTATCATCTTCTTTACTATTTTTTTCTCATATGAATGGAGAGAAGAATATTCAATCATATCTTGGATCTATGCTTTCCACCCCCCAAATCCAACTTTGTTAAGAGGTCTCTACCAGGAGGATCAGGAAATGCCTTTGCTCTTCCTGCAACTATTTATTAAGCCCTCCTGCAGGCTGGTCCGCATTCTCAGCAGGGTGTTTAAAACAGGGAACCTGAAGCTGCCCCTGACCCGAAGAGGTTCCTGAAGGAAAACAAGTGCACAGACACTGAAGTGTTAGGGGGCCAGCATGAGGTCCACAGGACCATTCCACGGGCACCATTGCCAAGGGTGGGATTGGAAAATACCGCAAAGAACAAAGGGGAGAAAGGGCAGTCTTGGCCAAGTTCGCAGTCTGGAAAGGGCTGGCGGGCTGTGATGTGAATGACACAGCACAGCTCTCTTTTGAGAATCCCCGAGGTAGTTGTCATGTGTCTAGAGGGCAACGGGTGAATGGCATAAGAGTGATGGAAGGGGAAACTAGGACAGTAAACCAGGATAATTCTAGATGTGAATTTGCATAATGAACTCCGGAAGCAGGCATAGCCATGTGTTCCAGGCTCCTCTGTGATAGGAATAAAAGTAGGGTCACAACAAAGGAAGTTTGCCTTTGATCACCCTGGAGTAGCTTAACTCTCCTGAGATACTGGCCAGAATGGTAAGTGTGCCTCACACAGTAGCAAGAACAGTTCTTCTTAGCGTCCATGGCCACTGTCGGAAACGAGTGAGAGAGAGAGGTGGGAGGAGCCAGATGATTGGATCCAAATGCCTTTATTTGTTGCTGGGCTTGCAGGCAGGCTGAGTCTGGACCAACTGCAGCCCTGGGTCAAGGCAAGAATGAGATTTTTAAGAGAAAAAGTGGGGGTTTGTGGGGGTAGAGGAGGGGTTAGTCTCTTGTTCTTCTGGTTTAGTTTCAGGGTTTCAGGATGTGAGCCGGGACAATGGGTTGGGTAAAGGGCCAGGCTGTTCCCCAATACAGAAAGGTCAGTCTGAGCACTGACCATTACGGCTGGAGTGAGATATCTATTGTGGGAGGTGAGAGTTTCGATTAGCTGCAGGCTCTCAAGAGATCGGGATAACTGAGTCATGGGCAGTCCAGCAGGCTGGGACACTGGCCTGACCCTTTCATCCGTTTTGTTTCTCTCTCTGTATATACTCTCCTCTTCCTGGCTGGAGCCAGCCTGCAGTAGCTAAGCTCCTGGTATTCGCAGACACTCAGTTTTAAGGTGGTAGCTCTTAGGTTGCTGCAACTGATCCTGCTGCCCTCATGTCCACCCAGTTGGCCCTGTAGTTGCTGATAGTTCTATTAAGGCATCCCAGACTCTTTTTTCTTGCCTTTTCCCGAGGTTTCAACATCACTTCTCTCTGATGTTGGCCTTTTGTCATTGGCTAAAACTGTGGACCCAAACCCCTCTCTCCTTGGGTAAGTCCCTTCCTGGGTAACTCCTTGAGCTCCCTGCCTGGTAAGCAGACCCACTTGATGGCTGCCTTCCAGATTCTGTCAAATATGCCTGAATCTTTGGGAGCTTTGATGCATGCTGATAACTTCGGAAAAGTTATGGGCAAAGAAATGGGAAGAGAAAACAGGAGCAAGAACGAAACGAGCTGAAACATGTCTCGAAGGGAGAGAATAAGAAATACAGGTGGCTTATGCTGAGCCTCTGAATCCAGAGTAAATAGTACACATTTATAGTATTCTTCTTACCCCGATTTTTCATTTATCCTCTCATGTTATTTTTCTATTTTGTATTGTTTGTATAAGACTTACACACCTTATAAACTTTTTTTGGAAACATGGCAGAGTATAAGTAAGTCAATAAATAAAGAAGGCAATTTACAGTTGCCACATTGAGTAATTAGCCATCTGACGACAGAGGTGATGTGGTCAAAGGCAGAGGCAAAACTACCTTTTGATAAATATGCTTATGACGAGAATTTGAAATAGCAGAAAAAGAGAACTTTAAATTAAAATCTAACCGCCAAATGGTTCTTTAATTCTCACTTACTCTACTTACTGATGGCAAAGTAGTTTGGCAGAACTGTCCCCTCACAACCAAACCAATCCAAACTCAAACCATGCACTAGGCAAGTCTAAGGGTCAATAACAAAACTTCCCCAGACTTGGGGCCCCAGTGAGGTTAAAGGGTCAGAGAAATGCCCTGCAGGGGAACCGCATCTCTCCACCAGGTAGGGTCTTTGCTGGCTTCACCGGCTCCAGGAAATCGACAGCAAGGGATAGAAAGATGTTATGGAAGGGGACTTTCTCTCACTTTGCCTCCGCAAAACCCAGGATCATCTCTTTCTCACACTCAACTTCTCTCCTGGCCTAGGCTAAACTTGCCGTCTAATGAATTCTCATTCTTTGTGCGGGGATACGGGCCCCACTCCCCCAGCAAGTGCCACACCCTACCCGCTGGATCGCCCCGTCCTTCCCCTCCTTTCTCTCCAGAACGCCCCTCGCGTTCCTTGCCGCCGAATCCAGAACTGCCTGACCCAGTCAGGGGTGCGGGCCGGCAGGTGGCTCGGTGGGAAGGGCGGGCCAGGGCCAGAGTCGTCGGGACTCCGGCCCCACAGGCGGGGTTGGGAGCGCGGGTCTTGCCCCTCCCGGCGGGCGGCGGGGCGGTCCCAGGCTGGCTCTCCCCACGCCGCCCCTCGTTCCTCCTCCTCCTCCTCCTCCTCCTCCCCGCTCCGCCAGTCGGCGGGAGCCCAGGTGCCTGCGGGCAGGAGGCCGGGAGGATGCACCGCTGGTTGCTGCTGCTGCTGTGGGCGCTGTGCCCCCGGGCGGCGGCGGGGGGCTCCGGCCGCACCTTCCCGCACCGCGCGCTCCTGGACTCGGAGGGCAAGTACTGGCTGAGCTGGAGCCTGCGGGGCAACCGGCTCGCCTTCCGCCTCGAGGTGCGCACCGCCGGCTACGTGGGCTTCGGCTTCTCGCCCACCGGGGCCATGGCTGCGGCGGACATCGTCGTGGGCGGGGTGGCCCAGGGGCGACCCTACCTCCAGGTAAGCGCGTCCGCTCCCGGGGCACACCCTGCCGGGTCCCGTTCCTACCCCGGGATAAGCGCGAGTGGAGGGCCCCCCGGGGCCCCCGGCTGATCTTTGGCGGAGGCTGGACGCCTTCTCCGGGCGCAGCCCCGCTCCCGCTGGCGGTCACCCCCGGGCTTCCAGCAGCCAGCCACCCGCCCCGCTCCCCGCCTGGGCCCAGGGTTTTCGCCCCCGGAACCTGAACACCGCGACTCCAGGCAGAGTTGCGTCTGTGCGTCCTTTTCCGTCTCCAGCGCCCCTCTTAACAGACCCCAAGTACACACCTGCCGCTCATTCCCCTCAACCCTGATGGGAAAGGAGAGGGACCCAGGCTTCGGGTCCCTGACGGACCGCTCTCAGGGTTGGATGGGTCGGAGAATTTTAGGCATTTTGCTGACTTGCTGCCTCGTGTCAGGGACTCTGAGATAGTCACGGCTGTTTGGGGACCCCTATGCGCGGGGCTGGTGCCAGCTTCTTCAGATAGATGAAGGTAACTCTCCAAAAATCCTTTAGGACCTTTGCTATTCTGAGAGCCGTTAGGAAGCTGCATTCAAGGATCTGAGTGACCCAGGCAAATTCCCTTATGAAGTTGCAAAACTTTTCACATACTTTAGTAGCTAACAAAGCTAATTTGACAGCTGGCAGTTTGTTTTGAAAGAGCTGGAGTAGCAACGTTGCCCGTTCTCAGATGTCTTTACGACTAGGAGAAAAGACTCGTGAGATAACGAGAATGATTAGGTAGTTAAGTGTTCTGGACATCTCGGTTTTTGACCTAGACCAACATTTAGACACTTTTCCACGATAACATAACAGCGTGTTTACTTACCAAAGTTCATCCAGCTGCCCTTTGCTAAAAGTCTCTTGATTCAGATGAAGACTCCTAGCTGTTCTGGCATTGTGTTAGGCTTTGGTGATATTAAAATCAATGTACCCCATAGATTTCAAAGTGCATTTCTCTGTAATTTTATTCCTGACTTCTGGGTTTGATTTCTACAACGTTCTGACTGAGATGCCATCAAATTTGAACCCTAATTCTGGCACCAACCTATGCAAGTTGGCCGGAAATAAAGAAGATGACAGCAATTAAAACTTCAGAACCACTCTGTTCTCTTTTTCTCATAAATTAATCCTTCCCTCCCAAACGAAGTACTCTACAGCTCCAATAAAATAAAGTTTTATGAGGATAACAGTCTGCTGAAGTCACTGACATATAAATTTTCTTCTGGTGCAGCATCTCAGACATTACATTTGTAAACCACAAATTCAACCCCAAACACAACCCTCATTAGCTCTCTTAACTTTCCTGTGATACAAAGTAGACAATACCTTATATGAATAACTATTTGAACCAGATCTTTTTGTCTGGTTTTTGTTTGTTGTTTGTTTAGGGTGGGGAAAGTAGTATGCCCTGTAACTATCCCTGCATGCTCTATTGAAGGGAACATGGGAATCTTACTAAGTTAATATCACAAAACAGGGTATATATGCTATCAAAGATAACTGACATTGTTTTTCCCAAAAGAGTAGCATTTCTAGAAAACCCACTCAATTTGATATCAAACGAAAGGCCAAGAGTTCTCCTGTTTCAACATGCCATAATGGGCCCAACACAAGCATAGACTTTGTTGAATAAAGAGGGTTTTCACACTGCTGGTGGTTCTTTATAAAGATTGCACAAGAATTAATTAAGTGCTATTTAGGTTGATTTTGAACCATAGAACTTTTCTTAAAATAATTAGGAGATACATATCACTATGAGATGAACCTTATAATGAACACTTTTCTAAAATAATTAATGAGCAAGAAATAGGATTATATTCTTCCACTTTTATTCCTAAAGAAAAATCCTTAGTTTCACATATAAAGATAACCATTTTCTTAGTTGGCTGACTGCCTCTACTACGTAATTTCCTTAAACACCCTAATCATTTTAGGCCATATAAGATACAATAAAATTATGGTAATCAATTAGGTTCAAAGATAATTTATTCAAAGCCTCTAATAAAGTTGAAGACACCAAAGATTGATAATCAAAGAAATGTGTCGGATCCAGCTCATTCATCCAAGCTGGGTGATTCCATTTGCCAAGAGTTGATGCTAAATCTTCTCCCTAGAAACTATTTGAGAGTCTTCACGCGGTGGTGTGGTAAGGGCATTCTCAGCAAGTGTACCCAAAGATAAATAGAGCCCCTAACCATAGTGCACGCAGTGTCAATTGGAGACTGTGTAATTTTACTTCCAGGGAGAACAAACTTTACATGAACCAAGAAAACAAAAGCATCAGCTTCTGGGGCTTCTTTGCATGTGCAGCAGCCATTGATACTGGAGACAGCATTAGGCTGCATGATAACCTAAGCTTACTTCCCAGGCACCGCCCCCTGTAACTTTTCCCCATTATTTGATTTCCTCCTCTCTTAATTAAATTTTACAGACTTGACTTTTAGGGGATTTTTTTGTTCTTGTATTATTCTGAATTTTATTTGCCTGATCAAACCCTTCTCTTCACGCGGGATGTTACCTGCTGAATAACTGTGCACGAGTAAGTCCCAACCAACCACGTAGAAAACTGTTGTCTAAATAGATGTTACAAACCCAAATACCCATAGAGGACAAGCAGCCTGTGCAGAAGAAGGCTAGAGTGGACAAGCAGGATGTCATGTAACAGAAAGCAGGGAGGACTGAGGAAACCAGAGTTTTTGCAAGTGATTTACTGTTATGTGGGGATACACACCAAGTATTACCAGACTTTTCTATCTTGTTTTGTTTTGTTCTGTTTTTGAGACAAGACAAAAATTTAATTGTGTGTGTGCAGTAAAATCTTCTGATTGCCAAGTACTGACCACAATTCAAGTTTGTTCGAAGCACCACGTATACACACATGGTTTCAGTTCAGATAGACCCTACAGACAGCTTCATCTGGGACCAAGAGGGGAAAAAAGCTAATGTTAATAAAGTGTCACGCCCAATTACGAGAATCCTTGAAAGTCAGAGAGGTGGGTACCATGCCTTTTCAGGTCAGGTTTATTCTGTGCCATGAACATTCCGTCCGGTGTCAGAAGGGACCTTGCCCATTGTTTTTGTTATCTATTGTGTAACAAATCACTCTACAATATAGTGGCTTAATCCAAGGACAGCATGTATTTTGCTCACAAATCTGCAGGTTGAGCAGAGCTTAGTGGGGACACCTGTCCTCTGTTCCACCTGGCGTCAACCCCAAGGGGAGTGGTTGGAATCATCTGAAGGCTCGACTGGCACTTGGTGTTGGCTGTTGTCAGGGAGCTCCACTGGTCCTGCGGTGGCAGTGTGGCCTCTTCGTGTAGCTTCTGGGCGTCCTCACAGCAAAGTGACTGGGTCCCAAGTGTGGACATCCAGAGATGTCCCTGTGGAACTGTATAACATTTTTTAAACCTAGCCTTTGAGTCATGTAATGTGTCTTTTGCTGTAGTCACAGTCCCACTGGGTTTAAGAGGGAACATCACATTGTAAGGTCACATGGGAATGAACTATATCAGTATGGCCATCTTCGGAAGAAACATTCTGCCATACCCGTACTTACAGTCTTGCCACCGTCTCCTTTTGAATTTTGTACCTGTCTAGATGCATCCACTCTCTCTTGACACTGCTGAGATTTGGAGGCAGTGTTTACTTATTCACCTTCTTTCCTTCCCCCTCTCTCTCTCTGGTACATGTACACACACACACTAACTGTAAGAAGTTAGTGAACAGTTGGTGATTTCTCCATTGTCCTCCTATTCCATACTCCTTCCACTCCTCCCCCATCTCAAAATGAGTTCTGACCTTCCACAACCCATAGTGTTCAATGGTTGCCAACTACCCAATGAGTCAACCTCTAGAGGGCAGTGTGGCATTTGTCAGTTGGTATAATGAAAAATCCTTACAGGGCAAAAGACTTACTATGCCCAGAGAAGAGGTATTATGGGAATTTTCTCTGCCCATTTTGTGACCCTCTGACCCTGTCTACAGATATTTTCTGAAATGGTATATAATCAGGTACCACCAAAATGGAGAAGGAAAGAGAGAAATATGGTTGCGAAACCAAGCCCATCTCAGTGAACTCAATGAGGAACGTTGTCCTGCAGATGTTTACCCTTGGGGAAGCGTGCTCTGTGGGGGATGCTGCTGAGTCACTTTCTACACTATCTTTCACAGAACTGCCAGGGGTGGCGATGGAAAGCAGTCCTTCCTTTGGCGTCAGCTTTTGAAAACTTCACCATTTTTTTTCCTCAATGAATTAGCTCAATGCTCCCTTCCTTGATGGATCATGTCCTTTCCTTGTACTTTGCCCCTTTTTGACACAGAGCAATCCCACCCCCACCAGAGCCGCTTAGCAACTGTGAGTCCCCATTTGAGGCAAGTGATCCGGGCTGATGAATGCGCAGTTTGTGTGAGTCAGAGAAGAGGGCAGCATTGTCGGATGTGCTGTTGAATTTGCACAAAAATTGATTCACTCTTCCTTTGGGGGTGTAAATCATTAGTGAATGGAGGCCATAATATGTGTCATCATTTGTTACAGCCTTGCTTGTTGGCTGTCTCTAAAACTGAAGCGTTTCTGTGATTAGAAGTGAGTCGTCAGCAGCAGGGTAATTGCTGCCCGGCTGCTTGCTGAGGAGCTGAGGAAGTGCTTGGAGCTGATTTGAAATCACAGAAAACAGTGAGCATTCTTTGTGGTTAATGATGTGCTTCATTCAAGTGCATCCCAGCCAATGGCAACAAAGAAATGTTTGGAAAGCAAATTGAAAAGCTGTAAGGGGAAGATGAAGAGAGTGTGCACCCCTGACACATCTCAGCTGGAGCTTTGTTAAGAGATATTTATAAGTCTTTGGACAATGCCCCCCAATAACCAGATGACAGAGGGACTTCTCCAAGCTTCATGCTTGGGAATTAGTAGTACGGACACATGGCCAGTGTGATGCTCAATACACAGTGATCGTCTTCAGTGTGTGGTTCTCCCTGGCAGA